TGTACACGTGAACCTCTTTGGTTGACCAGGTTGCCATCCCGGGGGTGTGACCTCAACTCGTTCAAAATGTTTCCACACCCAAGAAAAATGTGCTCGACCTCTACTTTCACCGCCACCACCTTTCATAAATCAAATTATTAAAATTAATTTTTAAATGCTATTCATGAAAATAAGCTTTTAAATTTTAAATATTTTAATTATACTTATTTAAACGCATTTTTCATGGTAATTAACTAATTGTAAATCATAGAAAATTGGAAACTAAACTAACTTTATAATCATTAATAATAGTTTTTTTAAATATTCATAACAATAAAAATTTAATTAGAAATTACCTTGAGATGAAGGTTGAGATGTTGGTTGCGATGGAGGTGGCATAGTTGAACTTGATGATTGGTGGGACTCGTGGGAGAAATGTTGTGGTGGAGACGTTTGAATATTTTGCCTATCTCCTAAACCATAATCTCCATATTCATTGACAAATTGGTTTAAATTTTCCGTATTAATTTCATACGAAAAATTTGCACCACCACTCCTTTGGCTACCACTTCGACCACCACTTTGACTCCTTCCCATTCCTCCTCTTGAGCTCATTTTTTTTTTGTATGATTACTAATTATAATATGGAGAAGAACTTTTTTTTTTTAGAATCTTAAGAATACTAATAATAATATTAAGGAGATTTTTTTTAACAAAAATATAACTCTATATAACACTTGAGAATTTGAGAACAATAAGAATTTTTAAGTAAGAGAGAAAGAAAGCTTGAATTTGTGTGGAAATTTGAGTGAAATGGAATTGGTATTTATAGGAAAAATAGAATGGATGATCATACACTTAAAAAACTAGCCGTTAGATACAAAAAACTAGCCGTTAGATACAAAAAACTAGCCGTTTTTTTTTTTTAAAATGGATGTTAGGCCGTGCGGGCCGTGCGGGTCGTGCGAATTGTGCGGGCTGTGCGGGCCGTGCGGGTTGTGCGGGCCGTTCGGGTTGTGCCGGCCGTGCGGGTTGGGTGGGTCATGCGTGCGGGTTGGGTGGGTCATGCGTGCGGGTTAGGTGGGTTGGCTCGTGCGGGTTGGGTGGGTCATTCGTGCGGGTGGGCCGTGCGGGCTGGGTTGTGCCAGGTGGGTCGGGTTAGGTGGGTTCACGGGCTAGGTGTGTCGAATTAAATGAGTCAAAACGGGTTGTGCGATTTGGGTCGAATCAAACGGGTTAAACTGAGCTGGGTTGAAATGGGTTGTGTCGAAAATTTTGGACCCACGACACAACCCGGATTAAATCCGAGCTGTGCCGGGCTGTGCCGGATTGAAACCGGGTCGGACCCACGTGACCCACCAGCCGTGCGAGTTAGGGTGGGCTGGGTCCAACCCGGCCCACTGGCCACCTCTATTTGTATCCTTCTTTTTAATGGCTTCGTATCGTCATTTTTGTCCGAAGGTTTAAGCCTAATATTTCATCGGGCTTAGTTTACTATGATCCAACACAAAGATGGAATTATAAATTGTTATTGCACTTCCGGCACAAGGGATCAAAATTAAATGTTTAAAATATCCCATAGTAGTGTATAGCAATGTTACCTATATAAGCAATATGGTCAATTACTTAAAGATTTTTATTAAAAACAAAAATTAAACCTTATTCAATAAGTGAATTGGACCACTAACTATGATATATTTTGGTTAAAAAAATGAATGATGTACTAGAATATTTACTTGATTCTAGACATATGTACAAAGTGTTTGTGTACATAGAGCCAAAGTATTAGTATATAGATTATGTACAATAATATTTCAATTAATATATTTAGATATAAAAAATATCTTAAAATTAAAGTGATGAATTTGCATGTGATGAATGGAGAAAATTATGTTCTACATGTTTTTTTTTGGGAAAGAATTATGTTCTATATGTTTTAGTTGTAAGAAGTAATAGTTGTCACTAAAACATTGTAGTATTAATTATACACACATTTTAATATGTGGTTGTTCACACCGTGTAACCAGCCATTATATGGGCTATTACGATAGTGTAGTAGGGGTTACTTGATAAATGTTTAAAGGGTTACTTCGTTAGTGTTATAGGGTTACTCGGTCAGTGTCATAGGAGTTACTCGATTAGTATTACAAGGGTTATTTGGTCAATATTATAGTGATTACTTTGTTGTTTTATAAGTGGTCAGCCACACACAAAACAATTTAGTAATTAACAAATATTGTAAAATTTATTAATCTTTTAATTACTTTAAATTATTAGTTTATATTTTTTAATTGAGATCATGTGAGAACCAAGGTGAATATTAAGAACTAAGAACCAATCTCAGCCATTGATCGCACTCAATCTGATGGCTCACGTTTCACCCGCATTCATTAATAGCATTTTCATAATTTTGCAGTTTTTGTAACTTTTTTTTTCTAGTTTTATAACTTTTAAGGCAGCTTCATTTACTTTATGACTGATTTATTTATTTTTACTAACTTTTTATTTACTTTTTAAAAATAAAACTGGAAAACACTTTGCAAAATATTACGAAAATGACATTAATGACACGGGAAGCATGTGAGCCATCCGATTAACATGATTTAAGGGCCTAGATTAATTCCTAGTTCTTATTATAGCCTTGGTTCTTATCATAACTTGGTTCTATATTTCTTAATTACATATTTACATATGCAATAAAAGAAAACATATCTTTACCATATTGACAATAGGTAGTATATGATAATTTCCTTATACTTCATTTTTTTCAACAATGTCATTCTCTTTCCTATGACTCATCATTGAGTAAAATACTACCTCAGTTACAAATTAGTTGCAACTTTGGGATATTATTTGAGAGACATAATATTCCAAAGTTGCAACTAATATGTAATGGGTGTAGTATTTAATATTATAGTAAAAAATTATACATGAGTTGTATCTTATGTGAGGAGTATAATTTATACCATAATATATTCTTATCAATTTGTCAATATATGTATATAATTTGTCAATTTTGGTGAATGAGTAACAAGCTTAGATTTGGTATGATATCAGTTTTTGTTTCTTTCATAGGGGTAAGGAGAATGAACATTTATAATACTTCGTATATTGTTATTGTATTTTGATGTATGTATATCGAAAGGGAGCATTTATACCTTAATCAAATTAGTAAAGAAATAATAATATTACATTATCTATCCAATCGTGATGATATCAAGGATCTTTTTTGTCTTTATGGTCGATATTCAGTTTAGCCAATCAGCTATAAAAACCCTAAAGGTTTTGACCTAGACCTAAGAAATCATCAATTCCATCTATATGAAAATGGAAAAGTTGATGTTCAAAATTGTTCTTATCATAGGCTTTGCAATTGCTGCAAATGCAAGAGTTCACCCTAGTTTTTCATCCATTAAGTTTACATTTATAAAAATCTTAGATACATAAATTTGAAGGAAAAAGTGCATGGAAGGCAATCCTTGGAGGAGAAAGATAATATGAGTAAGCTCACCCCCATAGGGAAGAGCCTTGCAACATCTCCAGAAACACTACTTTCGGTAGAGAAAGATGATACAAATAGGCTTATCCCCATAGGGCCAAACCCGGCGACATCTCCGGAAAGTCCTCCTTCAAAGGAAAAAGATGATACAAATAGGCTCATTCCCACTGGGTCAAACCCAGCAACATCTCCAGAAACACCTCCATCGAAGGAGAAAGATGATATAAATAGGCTCACCCCCACAGGGCCAAACCCGACAACATCTCCGGAAATTCCTCCTTCAAAGGAAAAAGATAATACAGATAGGCTGGTTCCCACTGGGCCAAACCCTGCAACATCTCCAGAAACACCTCCTTCAGATTATACAAATAGGCTCTCCCCCACAGGGCCAAACCCAACGACATCCCCGGAAAATCCTCCTTTAAATGAAAAAGATGATACGGATAGGCTCATTCCCACTGAGCCAAACCCAACAACATCTCCAGAAACACCTCCTTTGGAGGAGAAAGATGATACAAATAGGCTCATTCCTACTGGGCCAAACCCAGCAACATCTCCAGATTCACCTCCTTTGATTGGGTAAAATACAATAAATAAAAACATCACCTATTAAGAAATTACGTATAAGTTTATATTAGTTTGTTGTCTTATGTATTAAAGAATATATATATATATATACACATTTGATGGAATACTATTGATTTTGTTATGCAACAATATTGGATTGAGAGTATGTTATCAAAGTCAATTCCTGTTTAGAATGCAAAGCATGCGGTAAATTTAAAAATAATTACTTTATTTACTATTATTCAGTTTTGTCACACATATATATAAGAATAAATATATGAAAAATTGTAATTTAATGCAAGGATACAATTTTTTTTTTTCTTTTTCTATTGCAAGAGATCAATACTTTTATCATGCCAACATCAGGTTTAGGCTTGACAATATTGTAGTATTATTAACTTATTAAACTGATTACTGACAAATAAGAGAAGCTAAGATGCGTTATAGGGTGAACTCTTCACCAATTACAACAAGCCTTGCTTGGTATATATATTACGTATATAATCAGATCAAGTTATACGTCTTAAATCCAATGTATTGTGCATATACATTGTTAATAAATTAATTATATATAGTTCATCCACAAACCAAGGATTGAACTTAGCAGCTGATTTTTCAATTATTTTCATGTATTACAAAAAAGGTAGCCTTACTGCTTTAGCATATACAGTAATAAACATACAAGTATTTAATTAGCATTATAAAAATAATAACGGTGGATCATATCATGCATGATCTATTCTTATCTATTTACAATACTTAAACCATAATTTAATAAGTTTAAGGTTATAAAAAGAGCCAATAAGCTATCAGAATTTGATACGTTGAAGATTAAACAAATATAAAAAGACCCATATTATTTAATCTCCAACATGTAACAACAGAAACCTCATCAAAAAGAGAGATTCAACAATAATACTTTAATCAATTAGAACAACTAATTTAACTAACTGAATTAACGGTAGTTTAGAAAATCATCACAACAAAACTTTGATCATCATCATCATTCGTTCATTCTTAATTCATTAACAACTACAAATTACTCCTTAAAAACACATAGGAGAGATCAGCAAAGTAGCACTAAAACTTCTGCTACATACAAGATCAAAGAAAAACTACTACCTGTACACAAATAACAGAACATCACATATACTACTACACCCACCATTACAATAATAATTATAATTAATTAGCTTATTTCTTAATCTTGTTGAAAGCCTTAGAAGGACGGCACGACACCGTAACCGGGGTCGGAGGCGAAGAGACCGTCAACAGAGGCTGCTGAAACCTCGGCCTCGACATCGGTCCGCTTAGCAAAGCGGCCCTTGATGCGAGGCCTAGTTTCAGCATATGCCTTCCTAGAAGCATAGCGGATAGTTTTTTCAAACTTGCGATTCTTCCTCTTCTCCCTGTACCTTAATACCCTAGCTTCCCTATCCATTCCAATCATTTTCATCTGCTGCTGCTTGTCGAATCCGGTCGATGCCACGTCTGCCATCGCACCCGCATCCGGCACCACTCCGTAGTCCAACGACGAGGACGAAACCTGAAATCATCATTTACACAAAATACACACAGTTTTAGTCTGTATGTATGCACACCTTTATAATAAAGATTAAACCGATCCTAAAAGTAAACAACCCGGAACATCGTCCGAGCTAAAAATATATTAAAATGGTATTAAAGGTTAAAAAAACCGGAGCATCGCCCGAGATAAGAGTAGATTAAAACAGAGTATTAAAGAAAATAACTCGGAGTATCGCCCGAGCCAAGACGAGTAAAGATGAGCTTACACTGTGACTGAGAGAAGGCTGGTTGCTGAAAGAGGAGAGAGAAAAAGGCTTGCAAGCAGCAGAAGGATTATTCTCAAACCCATCAAAATGATTAGTGGGATGAAAAGAGGAGAGAGAAAACATCGACGGCTGATGATGATGATGATGATGATGTTGCAGTTCATGGTGATGGTGGCTCATTTTCTGATCCGGATCTGGAACAACCCCATCAGCGCTAAGATCCGGATCCGGTTTGGGTTCAGCTCCGAAGTCCAAATCCAAATACGGGTCAATAGCATCAGCTTCATCAGCAGCACCAGAGAAAAGATAATCAATCGACTTTGGCTCATCTTGCTTGTTCGGATTCGGAAGAAGCCATGAAGCCGCTTCGGCTTCATCGGCGTCGGAATAGTAATCATCGCCGAAGAGCTTGTTAATAGCCGCCGACTTCGCGGCGGCGGCGGCGGCGTTGGAGGGGGAGTTTTGCTCACCAGGAGGAGGAGGAGAGAGAGGGTCGTAAAAGGGGGAAAGAGGGACACGGTCGTGCCGACGAGCAAGAGGGTTAGCAGAGTGAATATCACGGTCGCAAGTGGCGCAGAGGTGTGCGGCGTCAGCTTTACAGGTGACAGTGGCTGGTGCGTGCTCGCAGACCTCGCAGACCCAGACACGGGCGTGCCGAGATGCGAGCTTGTTGGCGGCGTGGATTTTGGCGTCGCACGAGATGCACAGGTAGGCCGTGTCAGCGCGGCAGAACACGGTGGCGGAAGCGGATTTGCACGAGTCGCATAGTTTTGCTGCCATAAGACCTCCTCCCATTATCTGGCGTTTTCAATTTTTTTTTTTTTTTTTTTTTTTTTTTTTTTGGGGAATTTTCTCTTACAGCAATATCTTTGATTTCTCTCTCTTTGTTTGTAGAAATGATTTTTATTTAATTTAATTTTTGAATATTTTTTTTTTTAGGTGGGAAGTAATTAGTGTAGTAGGAAAAGGATGAGAGTGAAGGGTGAGTAGAGTCAATCAATTATCTGATCAGGAGAGAGAGGAGATCTAAGTTGGACAAATGGGAGGGTGACATGTGGATCAGCCTTAGCCACTTACTTGGGAAGACAAAAAGAAGATGATAAAATCGTTTTTTTCTCTCCTCTTACCCTCCTTTGCTTACTTGGTGGTCCTTGTTATCTCATTCATCGTTCTAATAATAGAAGTAGTAATGTAGCTAGGTTTAGATTCGACTAAGGGTCTGTTCACATTAGGGATGTCAGTGGAGCGGGTTTAGTAGGAGATCCGCCTCATCCCCGCCTTATTGGGGCGGGGATGGGTCTTGGTTTGGTGGGTGGTGGGGCGGGGATGGGGATAAAAACCATACCCGCCATGGGTGATGGGACGGGAGTGGATTTTACATTATACCCGCCCCTCTCCACCCGCCCCACTTCGTACCCGTCTTACCCCCACCTCACACTCACATCTATGTATTTTATAAAACAAAATTATATACGTTTATACTATTTTATATATAAAATAAAATAGTAGATATAATAATTTGTAATACATAATTTTATAACTAAAAAAAGTGTGAAATATTAATAATAATTTTATTTGTTGTAATTTATACGTAGTATTATAAATATATATGTTGGATTGTGTATTGAGTGGTGGGTCTTAGGTGGGGATTAAACGGGTCTTAGGTGGGGATGGATATCCAAGTGGAGGGTGGGGCGGGGATGGTTTTAAAATTATACCTGTCGGGGCGGGGATGGGGATGAATTTTGGACCCGCCGCGGGGATGGGGATAGGGATGAAAATTTTAGGTGGGGATGGGGATGGGGATGGCAAGGTCAACATCTGCCCCGACCCGCCCCATTGACATCCCTAGTTCACATTTACTTAATTTCAATTCAGTTTAGTTTAGTTCCAAGCAGTTTCAATCAGTTCATCTCAATTGAGTTCAGTTCAGTTTAGTTTCAATCAGTTTATTTTAGTTCAGTTCATTTCAATTCAATTCAGTTCAGTTCAGATCCTAATTTTCCTCTCTCATAAAATATTCATTTCAGCTCGATTCAGTTCAGTTCAGCTCCAATCAGTTTAGTTCAGCTCATCTCAATTAAGTAAATGTGATCAGACCCTAATGGTCTGCTCTGTTCAACTTAATTTTAATTCAGTTTAGTTCAATTTAGCTCCAATTAGTTTAGTTTAGTTAAGTTTCTAATTTCCTTCTCTCATGAACAATTCATTTTAACTCTTTTCAGTTCAATTCAGTTAAACCCCAATCAATACAGTCTAGTGCAATTTCTAATTTCCTTCTCTCATAAACAATTCATTTTAGCTCTTTTCAGTTCAATTCAGTTAAACCCCAATCAATTAAGTCCGGTTCAGTTTCTAATTTCCTTCTCTCATAAACAATTCATTTTAGCTTTATTCAATTCAACCCCAATCAGTTCACTTCACTTGTTTTTAGTAAATCGGAACATGCCCTAAGCAATTAAGCTAGACCTGACAAATCTGACCTAACTCTAGTGACTCGAATCATGACCCAAAATATGAAATCTATCTGATACTCGAATGACTTGACTCGAAATTAACCCAATACTCGAAATGACCTGATCTAATTTTAACCCGAACTACTTGACCCGAACAGACTAGATTCTTGAATTTCCTGATCTAAAATTACCTAATACCCAAACTAAAAATGACTAGTGCCATAAATAAATGAAACGATTTCATCCCCAACCGTAACTGAACTCACAAAGTAAACCGAATAAAATTATCGATTTGAGCTGATCCACAGTATCGACACAAAATGAAAGATCCGACCTGATTTTGACCCAACCCAACCCAAAGTCGAGCCAATACATGATGCAAAATATACTCAAAACCCTAATTGACCCGATCCAAATGTAAGCTACTCGAAATTTACCTGACATGAATAAACCATTTGTCAAGGTCTAGTGCAAGCTCATGTGTTGAGTCAGCAAACTTCGTGCTTAAGTGTTGTATTTTTTGAACAAGTCAAGAAAAAAAAATGCATCATATCGAATTTATGTCGATTTTTTATAAACAAGGCTTATACATAAATTGGCTCATAAATTGTGTCATGCTTTGTCGATAACGGGTCTGCTTAACATACAATTTTTATATTTATCTAAATTGATAAAAATATGTGGTTAACTTAACTCGTTATGCTCATGCTAGATTTTGGAAATGATGTATTGATGTTCATGCGCCCAAGCTCGACCCATGCCCTAGCTAGGGCCACATAATAAAAATGTCTCATGTAACATTTTTTTTAATACTGAACTAATACTATCTTACATCATTTAAATCTTTATTAGATGTAATTGTATTTTAAAAAAAAAAATTAATGAGCAAAACTAGAATAAGTAACAATTCTTGAACTACTTTTGTTGATATGATCTATTATAAATAAGAAGCCTAAGCTCTTATTATTAACTTTTACACATACGCTAATACACATATAACAACAACAAGAAACTTAAGCTATTGTTTTTTTTGGTGAAAAGAAACTTGAGCTATTGTTAAAGAAAAGTAAATTTAATTAAGCTCTTATTGTTTTTCTTTGATACACAACAATAACAAGCAATTACGTGAGTCCTTACTGCCTCTATCTCATAATAAGTGACAACTTTTTCTATGTCATCCATTTTAAGATAATTAATAGTATTAGACATTGTATCATTATTATTATTATTTTTTTATGAGTGTAAAATTATCTTTTAGGAGTATATGACAAGGGACCACAAATATTTACTTTTTTTTTAAAAATATATATTTAATTTTATTTATCATTTCTAAATATTGTTAATCTCTTTATTTGTGACTTTTTACATAAAATTTTGTTGAACTAATCTCATTGAATATATTCAAAATACTAAAATTTTATATATTTAATAATTAAAAATCGAAGATATCAACAATCAAATATGTGTGGACCACTCTAAGTATTGTAATAAAAACAAAAACTAAGGAATTATATATATTTTTTTTTTTTAAAAAAAATTATTATTATTTTTATTATTGCTATTATTATTATTATTATTATTATTATTATTATTATTATTATATTAAAATATCAAAAAAAAAACTTACAAAGTCAATCAATTTACAAGAAATTGGTGGGGAGCCGAGATACAATCTGAACCCCCACCCCTCTAGCTATAGCGAACTCGATCATGCTGAAGATGTAAGCAGCTGCACGAGCACCAATATCCTAAGTCTTAAACCCGCTTCAGCAACGCGACGTCATCCTTCTCTAATTCCCCCAATGAAGAAAAGGAGAAAGGAAGAAAACCATAGCCAATAGCACTGCAACGCGCCCCATACTTGTCCCGCTTCCGCTGAGCCGCCGCAGACACAACACGACCATGAACGAAGTCAAACAACCCCGATTGTGTCAAAGTTGAGGACCCCGTCAAGTCAACATATACATCAAGGCCTCTATCTCAGGAATAAAGCAACACATCTCTTCTTTGACTTTGTATGTAATTAGTTATGTTATTATTATTATTATTATTATTATTATTATTATTATTATTATTATTATTATTATAACAATATTACGTATAGCTTATAGTGTCCCAATGGTGTTTCGACTTATGATTGGATAACCCTAGACCACCTTAACCAATATGTGGGCTTCTAGAGGACAATAATAGATTAATAGTTATTGGCAAGACTTTCTCCGAGGCCTTTCAAAGGGAGGTTTGATAGGTACCTGTACATACATATCAAGGGGCATAAGAGACATTTCACATGAAATTTACCCATTTATCTCCTCCTTTCTCTCACCCCCATGTGCTGAATTTAAGTGTACCACTGGGTGATTAATAGTATCACTAGATGATCAAATAGTATCATTGAACATTCAGTGGTACTATATATTCATTCAATGGTACTGTATATTCATTCAGTGGTACTAACTACGTGTAGAAATAGAATCACTACATAGTCAATGATATTATATAAGCTTTCAGTGGTACATTTAAAACTGGTCCCACATGCCCATCTCTCTCCTCCTTTTCTCCCACCCCCATGTGCTTTACAATACTTTTCAATATTTTAATGTTTGATATGTATTTGCACATACATATCAAACCTACATTAGTACTTCCTCATATTCGATGTGACTAAATTCATACCCTAGAAAATGTTACCATCACCAGAATCTTCATATCAATTATTGCAAGATTTGCAACCTTATCAAAGTGTGTACTTCGTGTATTACATATGAGATCAAAGTACGTAATCCAAATAGATATCAAATTTTTACAATTTACTTACGTACTCCATATTTTGATATTGTGCTTGTACTATATATATAGTATTGAGGATCTAAAACGGAGGAAGTGTATAGCTTAATTAGCTAAGTTATATTTTAATTTTTTGGTCTAATTAGTATACATACATTCGATCTTGTTTGCTAGTCAAGTTTAGAGTCGTGAGCAAATACATGTTGATACATCCTCATGAAATTAAAAGCCTCAGGCCTCGTCAAACGCATCCATTAATTCTTTGTATATTATTGTTAATGTAATGCAACAAACGGTCCCAACACTTGCGTACAATGCTATGGCCTCTTCCTGAACAAAACCCGGGCAAGTTACTAATTATTTTATGCCTTCATTCAAGGTTTATATATACATATAATATCATATCAATAATACAAGTATTAAGTATACATGCTCGTGGAAAGTAAGGCTTTCATAAAATTACAAAAACTTACGGATTGGAGAAAGTGAGGAAGTATTAATGTAGCTTTGATATGTATGTGCAAATACATATCAAACATTAAAATATTGAAAAGTATTGTAAAGCACATGGTATATAGCTTTTATAGTTTTATCCCCCAACAACTAGCGTTCTCTCTTTCTTTTTTAGCACTGGCAAATTTATAAATAAATTTGGCATGTTGCCTGCTACATGCTTTATTGCTTCAAAAAGCCAAATCAAATATAGTTAATACTTCCTCCGTTTTAAATACTTTCTCTATTTTTTTCATGCGCGGAGTTTTGAGAAAATTTAGAGAAAGCAATAAAATATGAATTAAATATTATAATTTTTTTTTAAAATAAGGATATAGAGCAA